TAAGGATATAAGTAATAGAAAGTTTGTGTGGCTCTAACATTAGTTTTTATATACACATTCACTTTCTTTGCTTCATCAATGAGCCAAAAAGTGATTTTGCTTCATTTAAATCCAAAAGAAAGGTTTATTTAATTCCAATTTATACAAAATTAATCCAGATTTAAACATTGTACCACTTCTGCCCCACAGTGACCTAGTCTGTAATTTAAACTTTGCAACAAAGGGCATCTACCTTGCAAGACTGCTGTATGGGTCAATTCACTTATAATTTAATCACCTTAGGATCCTAAGATGCAAAGTGCTAAGTAATGCTGTGCTAGTGCTGTGGTTCTTCTGCCACTTGCATATTTTGTCAACCAGTGGATAAGATTTGCCTTACTGGGTACTTTTCACCCCATTGTAGTGGTTCTTCAGGGAAAGATCTAAAGAAATTCTGCAATAGCTAGTACCTTTCTCAGATAATACCTATGCCTGAAAGATTAATCTATTGGTTTCCTTGTCCAACCTAAATATAATGGATTTTTTTTTATTTTGTTGTATCTTTAATAAACTGATGCATCAACAAAACAGGTAGGGATATTTAAAAAATAATAATTTAACTTAATATCCTTTAATAGTTTTAAGAATCCTTAATTCCTTTTTTATATTTAGGAAATTATGTAGCACTTTTTAGACATTAGCTAAAGAACCTCTCCAGAAGGAATATTCAATCAGTCAACATAATTCAAACCATGCACAACAAAACTTAACTTGTCATAGTTAGATTTTAAACTCTTTATTCTACAAGAAGAAAATATTCCTTCATTACATTTATTGCAATAATAATTGATCAATTAATAAAATATTTAACTCTAGAATGAGAAAAAAGATTAAATATAGTAACCCTGAAAACTATAGCCTGCTTTTTTGAAGTTTTCAAACTCTGTTTCTACAATCTCTAAATGGATGAATCTATTGGTAAAAGAAAACAAAATACTTGTTACCTTGGTATTTAGTTGGGGGGGGATATTACTTCTTTATTTACTTACCATTTGCAGAGTTCCTTCTATTTCCATATCATCATCACTTTCATCATCAAGCCTCTGCCATTCTTCCACTGGATTCTCTACCAAAACTTGCGTTAACAGATGCTTCAGCCTCTCCCATAATATTTCCTTTTGCTTTCTTGGTAACTCTTGAAGCAATTCATTCAAATCAAATGGATCAAATACATCTTGCTGAAAAGTGATTAAAAATGACATAGCACAAAATTATTTCTTTATTCTGTGGAAGTGCATTGTTACATGTGAAGGGATGTTGTTGCAATGGAATAAATGCTTCTCTTTTAACATAGAACAAAAAACAGTGTGCCCCCAGATCAGCATTTAAACAACCTGGCCCCAGTCCAGCGTAGGCTGCATGGCTTCAGAAGTATGTCACCAGCAGGTGGGGCAGGTTGCCTACATCCACACTGGGGCCAAACACTGAGGCTGCGTCTCCCAGTCTCTCCCTACTCCCCAGCTGGTGCACAAGTGCAGCTTCCAGCCGGGAAGAAACTAGGCTGGAGCCAGGGCAAGGCAACTGGGAGCTGCACATATGCCACTACCACTTGTCCCTGCACCCTACTCCCCAGCTGCAGCATGGGTGCAGCTTCCAGCCCCTACTCAGTTCCCCTTTAGCTGTAGTTTAGGAGAAAGGATTTGTGGGAGGCAGGGAAAAGCAGCAACAACGCAGGTGCAGCTTCCAGCACCCTGTCCCATGTCCAGCTCCTTGCTAACTAGCCCAGCACGGGCGTGGCAGAATTCAAGTCCTTCAGCTCCACAGGCCAGTTCCAATGGCTGAATGAGTCAGACTGAGCCTGTGGAAAAAAGGCAGCGGTGCAGACGCCACTAGAAACTGCCTGTCCCTGACACAGCTCCTCTTTGTCCAGCACAAGAACAGCCACAGAATAAACCACAAAAAAACCTCCAGCTCCACAGGTCAGTTCCACAGGCCAAATCTGGGCCAGACACTGTACATTGCCAACCCCTGTTCTAAGCCTTTCATTGTCCTTGTTACTGTCCTCTACACTCTCTCCAGTTGTCTCTACTGATTTTAGACAGTGATAACAAAAAGGCAGTAAGTTTGCCATGCCTCTAAATTTGCTACACCAGTTTACAGCAATATTTTCTAACATTATCGCTTTAAACGTGGTAACAGTTACCAAAAGATTAAAAAAAATAAATGCCAGAAGATTATTATACTAAACAATTATCATGCATACACAACATGGATTACTTACATGAAGCTTGATAAAACGCAAGAAATTTTCAATAGTATTTTTGGATACAGCTTGCAGAAATGTTTCACGTTTCATCATGGTGGACTGTTCTTCCTACAGTGCTTAATTCATAAACCTAGGGAAAAACAATTACCATTTTTCCACATACTGCATGCCCCAAAATAAGACATGAAAAAACTTTCCTTGAAAATACCAGTGAGTACAATATTTTCACAGAGAAAACGTAAGCAGCTACAGCTGGGGGTGGGGGGAGTTGTGGGGCAAAACCCCCTGGTTGCTCTGTTAACTCCTGAGCTGTAGGACAGTGCCAACCTGGCTTGAAAAGCAAGGCCAAGCAGTTCAGCTCCAGCAAGATCAGCCTCTCAGCTGACTCCACTGACTGAGCTGAATTGCTTGGCCTTGCTTCTCTAGCTGGGTGGGCACCCAGTAGTGCCAGCCAAGTGAGCTGACAGTCCAATTTTGACTGCCCACTTAGCTTGACGAAGAACCCTGCAGTTCAGCTCTTGCAGGATTGGGCCCTCTGCTCCCCTCATTTAAGATATACACCCCCAATTTCTACCAACTAATTAAAGAAGAGGTACATGTTGCATGAAAACAAATGTAGTGGCTAAAAAAATATAGCAGCCGAAGTTAAAGCATCATCATCAATGCATAGAAAAAATTTGCAGACAAAAACTCCTCAAAGCTTCTCATTTGGTTCATAAGAGCAACTACTTTGTTTAGCATCCCATGGCACCTTCATGAGCAGATAACTTAGCTTTGTAATTTATTGAATTATAGAAGAATAAGTCTGGAAGCGACTTCAGGAGGTCATCTAGCCCAACTTCCTGCTCAAGGGAGAATCATCCCAATTTAAACCACTTCAGACAAGTCTTCCTCCAACCTGCTCTTAAAAACTATTAAGGATGGTGAGTCCCCAACCTCTTTAGATAGTTCAATGTGCTGCTTAACCACCTTCACATTTAAAACTTTTCCCTAAAATCCAACCTAAATGTCCTTTGTAACTTAAGACTTGTTATTCCTTGTCCTGTCCTCTGATAGGATAGTCTATCACAGTGGTGCTCAAGCTGTTGGACCTGTAGGTCAGATGAACAGCATAGAGCCAGTTTGCAGACTGGACTGAGCCCTGTATGTCAGGATTGGCCCTGGGGGCCCAGTGCTGCCTGCATGCAATCCAGCACACAGGACACCCCACAGACCTGCAAATTTGGCAGTAGGGGAACGGTGCCACTGCTTCCCTGCCAGCAAATTTCTGAACCTATGAGAGGCCAGATGGCATGGCACTGTAGCCCAAAGGTTAAGTACCTCCCATCTTTTACCCTTCAGGTATTTGGAAGCCAAATGATCCTTTGGCAACGTGCTAATAAAAAGCATGGTAAAGGGTTATGGTCATATTCAGCTTATGGTCCACTTTACCCTCCAGGTTGCTTCTGCAACTTAGCTAGTTGTTCTCCAGTTTGTATGTTCACATTTGATTGCTTAGTCCCAAGTGATCTTGTGCTGAACTTCAGCCTTCGGAATTTGTTGATTTTTTTCTTAATATATTCCCCCTAATTGGTTAGCTCCTGTATTTTCTTTTTAATGGAAATCTAAAAAAAGACAGTTTAGTATAATTTTCTTCCACCAAATACTCCCTTATTAGCTAGGCAACATCCCAAACAGCAACAATTTACTTAATGGCACAAAATAGTGGAAATGCAAACTTTTCTCTGTGTTGCCAACTCAGCTGTTGAAAATACCACCTCTAATAGCAAGATCAGGGTAGCTCAGTTTGTATTTATCCATAATGCTTTGGATAAGAATTCCGGCTTTGAATATCACTGTGGGGGCAGGAAGGTTGATACAAACACACTGAAGTTCTTTAAATATTGTGAGGAAGAAAAATATAGTCTAACTCCTGACTAGACTTCTCAGTAGCATATTACCAAAGAATCATTTCAGTGAAGCCTCCTGCTTATTTGTCATACCTATCTCAGCTACCAAAACTTTCAAACCGTCAGTCCTTTAAAACAGTAAAACCTTTAGATTAACTTACAATGGATACTTCCTGGCTTCAAACAGGGTACAGACTAAAGGTGCACTGATACATCAGTCCAATATCGGATCGGCACCGATATAAAGAAAATGGACTGTATTGGAAATCAGACTGATGCGGCTGATAATTTGGCTGATAAATGCCCACGCATATGTGCAGCCGCAGCTCAGCACGTAGATGGTGAGGAGCACAGCCTGGCAGCTTGAAGAGCTGCATGCAGCCAGTAAGTCTGTTGTGGTGGAAGGGGAGGGAAGGGATGTGGGGTAGCCAGGCAGCTCAAGGCCCCCAGGGTAAGGGAGGGAGTTGGGTTGGGGCAGGTGCTGGCCAGCAGTGCAGGACAGAGCCACAGCTTGTCCAGGGGTGTGCGGAGGGGGAGGCAGCTCCCACCACTGTGCGCACCCCAGGAAGTCATGGGGGGTGGTATGTGCCCCCAGATCAATGTGGAGCGGGGTGGGCTGCAGCAGTGCACTAGGGCTGTGCTAGATGCTTCCTGGCGCATGGTGGGGGGGGGGTTAGGTCAAGGATGTGCTCAGGGCAGGTGGTGGGAGTGCTGGGAGGGAGGCTATGAGGGAGCCACGGTGAATTTTGGGGTAGCTGGAGGGAGCCTCCAGCTGCCTGGGCTATGGAGCCAGGGACCCAGGTCTGCAGCCCCCTAGCAGATGAAGGCTGTTGCAGCCAAGTGGAGCCCAGCTCCCCCACTGCTGTGGGCTTAGGAGGGAGAGGAGGTTTGCTCCCCACAGCTACACACACTCCTGGGGGGACCCATGCACCCCAGATTTGTGCGTGGGGAAGAAGCACGCTGCCCATTGTGGGCTTGGGCTCCCACCCTGCTGCCCTCCCCCTGGGCCTCCACAGCCTGGCGGGTGTGACCCAGTGCTGCAGTAGAAGAAGCCTCCATGGCTGCCTTGCCCGGCCCCATCCCCTGCCTGGCCCCCACGTGTCAACTGCTCCATGGAGTGGGTGCAGTGCAGCTCGGCAGGGCACTGCACGCTGTCTGGGAGTTGGGGCCACTGAGGCTGAGTGGTGTTGAGCTCTGGCTGACAGGTGAAGCCACTCCAGCTCTCAGACGGTGCACAGCACCCTGCTGAGCCATGATGCACCCATGTAGCAGCTCCACTCAATGCCCCACCTCCACCCACATGCCAGAAGAGCCAGGACTGCGGCTGGGGACGGTGCTGGGAGAAGAGTGGCAGCGAAATTTGGGGTGGATGCAGCATCCTCCCAGCGCTGCCAGCGCCTGCTCTGAGCCCAGCCCCTGCCAAGAAGAGCCCCACGCAGCCCCAGCTGCAGCCAACCCCACCTCATGCAAGTCTGGGGGACACATGCCCTTCCCTCCCCCCACCATGCCCTCCCAGGGTGCAAGCAGCAGTGGGAGCCGCTTCTCCCCCCCATGAGCTGTGGCTCTGGGACCACTCCCACCTCACCTGGGCAGTGCCTACCCCTGCCCCCTCCAAGCCTCTTGCACCACACCACACTTACTAGCTGGAGGCAACTGTATAGGAAATCTGATCGGTATTAGCCGATATGCCTCCTTAAATATGAGCTATTGGTATCGGCCCCAAAAATCTCTATTGGTGCACCCCTATTGATTACCTACCCATCAGCCCTATTGTCTCTTGGAAGTTTGTGTATACAGAGTCAAGCCCTTACCTCTCTCTAAAAGTGCAAAGTTTCAAGAAGCTAAATGAATAGAGGATATCAAACAAGAATGCACATTTTTAAAAAAACAATGATTAAATCAAGGCTTCCTAACCAGTGATTTAAATCATGATTTAAATCAATTTGATTTAAATCAAATCCACCCGGGTGCCTATGCTCTGGAGTGGGGCAGAATGTTAGTGTGCTTAGTGTTTCTTATTGGCTAGCTTTAAATCTGGTGCACAGTGTTTCTGGATCAACCCTCTGAGTCAAACTTTCCCCATGAGGAGTATAAGGACAAATCAAAAGTGCTTCAAACACCTTCAAAACTGTTCAAAGGCAGACAGATGCACACATCCTTTGAAGCATTCTGAAACTAGCAAAAATGCACCAAAAATAACTGTAAAGGAAACACATATTAAGCGAAGTGCAGAGCTTCCTGAGTGCTGGCAAGCCCTACATAAGTACACAGTAAGTCTTCCTTTTACATATTTCCTTACAGAGGTGGTTAGCAGTGCTAGTCTGACATCAGGCAGAAGGCAGGGTAGGGCCTTAGAGGATAACTGGCTGAGAAGCAACTGTTTATTTTTCAAATGCCATGCACGGACTGGCAAAAATTAAAAACTGAATATACAAAGGGAAAGGGACAGGAACACTGCTAAGAAAAGTAATAAGGGGGAGGCTGAGTAGATTAACTGAAATGAAGAAGGCAGGTAATAGAGAAACACAAAAAAGCCTATGGCAGAACACTTAAGCCTGCTTGGGCAGATCATCAGTAAAGTGCATTCCTGGCCACTCCATCTCTGCTTTCCCATCACTACCCTCAGCGGTCCTTAAACAGAAAGGAACTTAAACCAACTGCAACACAACACAAAATTGCTGAACAAGAGGTCATCCACAGTCTGGATTGTATTAACTGTGTTCTCAACAGGGCCGGTGAGTTATCTCATTACCTGGACTAAATGTTAACAGCTGGGTCCCTTCCAGGTATCAGCTGCTTCATTCCTCTCAACTATAGTGTAAGAGTGGCCAAGATGGACCAAAAAATATGCAAGAGGCTAGGATTTCTTAGGGTGCTATCTTCTTTAAACCAACCATGTAGTTAGTATAAAGTTAGACAAGTTTGAATTGCAAGACATTCTTCATTGGTTCTCTTATTACAGGAATCCAGGCACAGCCTATAATCAAAGACCTGATGAAGAATGTCTTGCATTTGAAAGCTTGTCTAACTTTATCCCAACTACACAGCAGAAGTAAAAGCTATCACCCTAAAAAACCCTTGCCTCTATTATTCGTCTAATCAACCTGATTTGCTTTCTTAGCAGCATTCACTCCCCCCCACCTTTCTGTATGAAGCCTTTACTTTCTGCCAACCCATTTCTTAACCCTGGACAAAGTAGCTTGTTGCCTACCAAGGCTCCTGCCTCTGAACCAGCTGGCCTCTAAGGTGCCAACTGCCCAATTACTTACATGACTCAAATCCTCTAAACCAACATTAACGCTTACTTTCAAGGCACTCTGACTAGATATTAACAGCCAACTGCTACTCATGTTATTGCTTCTTGCTCAGATCACTTGAAAAGATTTATTGCAAATTTATCACCACTCCTGAGACCTACCCCTGAAGGCTTTCCAAAGACAGAGGTAATTAGCAGTGTGAGTCTGAACTCATTCAGAAGGCAGGGTAGATCTGCACTTTTATAGACCAACTAAATAAGATCTATATAGCAAGCACAAGCTTTTATGAACCCAAGTTCACTTCATCAGATGCTATGAACGATACACTGAAAGTAAAGTATAAGAAGAACCTGCCCTCGCTCACAGTTTCCCAAACTCAAAGAGCATCTCTCAAACAACAGACTAACAAATTCTCATCCACTTCAAAGCACCAGGCCTTCCAATGGATTTGGGTCCATGCCTCCTGTGATCCCACATCAATACAGACTAGATCATCACTGGACCTAATACCAAGGAGTACAGCATTCAAGGTTCATTTACCTGTAACTCTACTAATGTCATGTATGCCATCACCTGCTTGCAATGCCTTTCTGTTGTCTACATTGGACAGACCAGGTGATCTCTACATGTGAGGATCAACAGACACCAATCAGACATCAGCCCCAGGAAGACACAAAAGCATGGGAAAGAATGCTCAGTCTCCCTGCATGGTCCATAGCTGACCTTGGGATTGCTGACCCCATGCAGGAGAATGAACAAGAAATCACTCACAAACTGGACTGTGTTCATATGGTTTAAACAGGGACTGCGGATCCGTATCTCATTACGCGGGTTAGGTTTTGTGACCCTGCCCTACCCTTTGTTCCTATGTTTACAGCTCCTTTGCTCTTCTCTTCTAGCACTGCCCTCCTCTGCCATCTCTCTCTCTCCCTTCACCCTTGCCCATTGTTCTTACATTTCTTTTCCTTATACTCTTTCTTCACAATCTTTCATAGCATCTGGTGTATACATATCCCCTCGTCAGGGTCGGACGCTACATTTGGGCTCATGATCGGTACAGACTGCCTTCCTCTGTAGCAGGGACTGGCCCTCTTCCTAGGATCTCTTGAGCATATATCGACAACATTTCACAGAAGCAGGACATTGGCTGCCCTTATCTGTGGCAGGCTAGGGTGTCAGGTCTGTATTGTGCCAGGGTTGATGGTAGCCTTAAGTAGAGTTTAGATTATGAATTTGTAAATGATGGCTGGGATAAGGATGATCTTGCCTCAAGCAGGGGTTTGACTAGATGACCTCTTCCAACCCTACTTCTCTAGGAGTCGATAATATATATAGATACAGATATATCTATACAGAGATATAGGCAAATCGATCTGTAGACAAATCGAGACATCTATATTTCTAAGTACCATATTTCATGGTGTACAGGTTAACAAAGTGCAAGTCAACCCCATTTTTCTGATCCAAAAAAGTAAGAATTTCGTAGATGCAGTGTATAAGTCGACCTAACTTTTTGGATCAGAAACATGGGGTCGACTTACACCGTGGGCCAGGTACCCAGGGGGTAGACACACGTTGCTGGGCCAGGCTCGGTGTGGCTCAGACAGAGCTGTTCACAGGGGATGGGGCCGCCCCACACAAGTGTCAAGTCCGGCCCCATCCCCTGCAAGTGCACTATAGAAATGCTGCTTGGCCGGGTGCTTAGCCCAACCCTGTCCCCTGTGAGAGTCAGCTGAGCACTGAGCCTGGCAAGGCCTGTAGGCTGCACTTGGGCTGGGCCCAGACCCCATGGCCTCCAGCAACAGGGGCACTGTCGGTAGGTAAAGATCAGGTCAGGCCCGGGCTAAGGTTTGTCCGGGGCTGGGTGGGAGTCAGAAGTATCAATGAGGTGTATAAGTCGAGGCTGAATTTTAATAGTTAAAACTTGGTCTTCACAACTCCACTCACGGTGGAAAAGGACATGCACATCTCACACATGTGACTACATCCACACCCCTGTCTAGAGGTCCGCAGGCCTAGGTCGCGAGCGGAGCGAGGCAGACAGGTGCAAGCCTCCGTTTCCCGGCGAAGGGGCACCTCCGCGCCGCTTCTTTCCGCAGAGAATAGAGAACCCGCTCCATGGCCGCGGGCAGCCAGACCGGAGCAGGTACGAGTGGGCCCAACGCAGCGCCACAGCCAACCCACCACAGCGGAGAAGACCGAAACCCCGACCCCGACCCCGACCGCCCGCGCTTCACGCACCATTCGAATTCTCCCGCGGAGGCCGTTAACAGCCCGCCCCTCCCGCACGCATGCGCGTCAACGGGCGCCGCTCTCGCGAGACTCCTGAGCGAGGCAGACGCTGTTGTTCCCCCGCCGGCTGCGCATGCGCACGGGTTCATGTTAGCCGTGTGTTGAACGCCCCGAATGCACGAATACGGGTGGGGCAGGGGAAGACCGAGCCCATGGCCCGCCCCCCCCATAGATGCCCACTGGTGCTGGCTGAGGTACAGGCTGGGGCCCGTGGGCAGAACCAGCCCCGAAGCAGTGAGCAGGGACCTCGCAGTCATCCCTGCAGCCCCCTGCTCCAGGGCCCTGTCCTGCCAACCTCCTCAGGGCCAGCTTCTCTGGGCAGCCTGCTCCAGTGCCCAGCGGCCCTGGCAAGAAGTTCCTAAACTCCTGCCTACATTTCACCTGAGGCAGTGTGAGGCCCTGTCCCTAGAGGAAAGCCCATCTCCACCCTTTCTGCACCCACCCTTCAGGGAGTTGAGGACTGTTATCAAATCCCCCCCTAAGGCTTCTCTTCTCCATCTCATTGTGGGACCCCTGGCATGGCTTTATGAGCACTCGTAGTGCTCCGGTGTAGTGCCAGAGGACTGGAAGAGGGCCAGTGTGGTTCCCATCTTCAAAAAAGGGAGGAAGGAGGACCAGGGGAACTATAGGCCAGTTAGTCTTACCTCGATCCTGGGTAAGCTTTTTGAGAGAATTATTCTAGCACATGTCCACAAGGGGCCAGCAGGGGAGATTATGCTTAAGGGCAACCAACACGGGTTCATTAGAGGCAGGTCCTGTCAGACCAACCTGGTGGCCTTCTACGACCAGGTTACCAAATCCTTAGATGCAGGGATAGCAGTGGACGTCATCTTTCTGGACTTTCGGAAGGCCTTCGACACTCTCTCTCACCCCATTCTCATTAAGAAACTGGGGGACGGTGGTGTCAACACCTACACAGTCAAATGGGTCGCCAGAGAGTGGTGGTGGATGGGTCATTTTCAACCTGGAGGGATGTGGGCAGTGGGGTCCCCCAGGGCTCGGTCTTCGGGCCCGCACTGTTCAACA